ATATCTATAATTGGAGCGTAAAGTTAGGCTAAAATGGAACGGAAAGAACCGATCGCAATAGAACTTTCTTTTCTGGAAATATTAAGTGGAAACTTGATGGCTAATAAGTTCGAGGAGTAGCTGCTCGTGTCAGAGCATAAATAAAAGGGAGTGAAAAAGAGAGGTTTGTGGAAGAAAATGGCAGGAAACACTAGAATTGAGCCCACAATAAATCGGTCGTTCTCAATAAGCCGTGCTTTGATGATCACGTACGGTTTGCTGTTCACCAGGTGGCAAATCGCCAAAAATATTACCATGCGCCAGTTACTACTGGGTTTGCTTGGGTTGTCCAGATCCTATTAAATCTATAGCTTTCTACTCGTGTGAAGAATGTGTGCAGTAAGAATTGGTGAATCATTAATTGAGTCTGTGGGTGCGAATTGAGGCCTAAAGGCAGTGGGTACAATGGCACCAGGGTGGGGGTTCTTAACGTCGACAGGCCTCATTGGTGGACCACATTCCTCAGCGCGCTGGATTGGGCCTCGCACCGCCCTTGAATGCCCTTCCACCAATAACCAGTAGCGTCATGAAACCCGTCCCCCGTCAGCCATAATACCCACCACCTTTAACAGCATGTAAGTTAAAGCTCTCTCAAGATCAGGAACTCTTATGAGCAACTCCTTTTCTCCTTAAGACAACCTGGTTATTCAATGAAAGGCCCCTGCGTTTTGATTGAAGCACAATCTTGGGGCGCGTCCAAGAGGTGGTCGAAAGAAATACTCGAAACATATGTTGGATCAGCACCACTATTGCGAATTTCGAAATACTAAGTTTCTAGTTTTTCGGAAAGGAAACAATGTAGGGGAAGGTAAAGAATCAAGCCTAAATATCGAAGCGTTGAGGTAGGATTACAGTATCTTTCAAAGCATCCCGTTCCCTAACATCTTCTTTCTGAACCACAACTCATACTGGGCTCCTTCCTCAAGGACAAGTTAGACTCCGCTGTTATGCACGCACCGCACGTATGACCCTGGTTGTGAGTAAGCCCGATAATAAATTGCGTCTGGATCCAAGAGTGCAGAAGTTCGGAGTCTTAGTCGTGCACTATTTTCCTCCATCTCTCCTCTCGATTTGTGGTTTTAAGTCAGAAGTACCTGAGTGGGTCAGCCGTCACGCTGATAGTCTCATGACCTAAGGAGAGCTCCGGTAAGGGATTTACGGCAACGAGTTAAGCACGCTCATATTTCTGTCTGATAAAGGATAAAAGGATGAAGCATTTGCCGTTGATCAATCCTTTTTT